GTGAGGGTGACAGAGCCCTGGAACAGGCTGCCCAGAGAGGTTATGGAATCTCCTTCTCTGGAGATCTTCCAAACACTCCTGGATGCCACCCTGTGCCCCGTGCTCTAGGTGTCCCTGCTGGAGCAGGGGGTTGGACTAGATGATCTCCAGAGGTCCCTTCCAACCTCAACCTTTCTGTGATTCTGTGATTCTGTTACAAGGCAGTAACGGTGCTCTCAGCCATGGCCTCTCTGCCACTGAAGGATGGTGGTGGTGGTTCGTACTGTCCTTTTCCACATGGATGTGGGAATTCCATACTGAATGACGGGCCACGGGCTGCAGGCTGCTTGCAGTCACTGCCTGTAAGTGGCCTAACACAGGTGGATATGCTGGATTGAGCAGGATTCAGGATCATAGAATAACAGAATGCTTAAGGTTGGAAGGTACCTCTAGAGGTCATCTAGTCCAACCCCCTGCACACGCAGGGTCACCTAGAGCACGTGGCACAGGACTGCGTCCAAGCGGGTTTGGAAGATCTCCAGAGAAGGAGCCTCCACAACCTCTCTGGGCAGCCTGTTCCAGGGCTCTGTCACCCTCACTGTTAAGAAATTTTTCCTTAAGTTCCTGTGCAACTTTTGGTGTTTCAGTTTGTGGCCGTTTCCTCTAGTTCTGTCAGTGGCCACCAGTGAAAAGAGGCCAGCACGAGCCTCCTCACTCCCTCCCTTGAGGTACTAGACACTGATCAGATCCCCTCTCAGCCTTCTCTTCTCCAGACTGAACAGGCCCAGCTCCCTCAGCCTCTCCTCATAGGGCAGATGTTCCAGGCCCCTGATCATCCTTGTAGCCCTGCGCTGGACTCTCTCCAGCAGCTCCACATCCCTCTTGTGCTGTGGAGCCCAGAACTGGACACAATACTCCAGATGTGGCCTCACCAGGGCTGAGTAGAGGGGCAGGATCACCTCCCTCGACCTGCTGGAGAAGGTTCAAGGACCCGCTTCAGAAGGATCAAGGAATCGCACCCCAAGTCCTCCCCTGCTCCTCACCTCTCCCCAGACACCCTCGTCTCCTGCTCCCACTCCGCCTCTCCTCTCTGCAGTCTCCCTGCCATCCCACACATGCCCAAAGCACGGGATGCCCTTATCCTGACGCTTCCACAAGCCAAGGCAGAGGCAGAGGCTTCCCTTTCCATGATCCAATCAATCCCTGCAGTGCAGCCCTCGGCTCCCTCTGTCTAGGAGCAAGCGGAGCCCTGGGATAACCAGCGAGCAGGGAGCTCGGGAAACGCTCCGAACCTCGGGCCGTCCTCATGTGCTTCCTGCGCATCCGAAGGGGCCCGCTGGGCTCTGCCTCCGGAGTGGGCGGGCTCAGCAAGGAAACCCCCGCTTTTCGGGACCTATATTGAAGTGAGCGGGGCTCGCTACGCGTTTCCATCACTGCTCTACAGTTTAGCCGATACTTTTGTGAAAAACCCCAGGTCTCTCTTTTCAAAATGAATAAATGATGAGGGGG